CAAGTGGTACTGCACTTCCAGAAACAGAGGTCAGTGGCATCCTGAGTGCACAGAACTTAAGGATCTGAACTTCACTGCACAGAGGTAAAGACTGGAAAGGGTGATGGGCAGTAAAATAGAAATAGACGTATCAGGATGAAATGTTATTTCTGTGGATGACATAATCACACGTGAAGCTGCACTGTAATTAAAAGACTTCAAATAGGGCATAAAATACACTCCAATTACCCCAAATCAAAACTTTTTATCCATATAAAAAGAAGGTTAAAAACTAGATCATTCCCAAGATAATTTCTAGCTTACAAAATCAGTAATTATAACTTCACTATTCACTGAATATATACATTTGAGAACATAAAAAGTATGAAATTATTTCACATCTTAGTACGGTATCCTAATGTGGAAGGAATACTGCATTCTCCCACTCTCACTCTCACTATTTAGAAATTCACAAAGCAGAATTTCTAACTTGTGGACTTATTAAAGAATATAGCCTGAAAAATTTGGTAAATACCAAAACCTTCAGACCATTGTATTCCTTTCTGTGTTTACCATTCAAGCAGTAATTTTCTCAAGTTATGACAACTCACAGAAAAGTGATTCTAGAACCCACACGGCAGCATCAATTCATGTCTGTGAGTTCAGAGAGAAAGGATTCTGCTTTGCAGGACTTCGGTTTCCCTCTTACATAACCTAGCTCATGTCCAGTCCTACAGGGTCTCAGACCCCTCAGTATTGCTTCTTTTCCTAAGTCTGTTCTTCTAGTTTGCCATAGACTTTATCAACCTAGAAGAACTTGGTATTCCAACAGAAAATCTTCAAAATATTTCCTTCAGGGTTCCTTTCTGCTATGCAATCATCCAGCGATTTTCCTTCATGAAAAAACAGTGGATTGTAGTGAAGAGTGAAAGAGAAAAAAAGGATCATAGCCAACGTACTTTTAGAGCAGAGATAAAAAGGAAAGCCATAGCTGGAATGGTTCAAATTGGTAATTTATTATAAACCACCATTAAGGTGAAACAAACTGCAACCGAAGCACTGGCAGGTCAGAATGTAATACACAAGGAGACATCATATCCTTAACTCTTGAGTATGTTACCCTTTAGAATGAAGAATTAGCCTTTTTGATATACACCCAATAGTGCCCTACTTCATGCCTACCCATACCTGATAATTAATCATTGGGAAATTAAACTTCATTCCACACTATCTTAAGCTTTTCAACATGTAGAATTTTTGGACTTTTCACAGTTGGTCTCTAGCAAGGTATTATTCCCAATTACTTACCATTTACCTAAAGGGTTCCATATTTGTCTCTCTCTTCTCCAGTTATCATTCCTTTCTCAAAAGTTCCATATTCATGTCTTTCTTTCCCCAGTTTTACTTTGGAATTGCCTCCCTAGTTCACAGACTCTCTTCCCCTATCCAGGAATCCTCACACCCACATTTTTCCCCCTTCCCCCACTTCATTAACCTTTTCCTCCATGTTTCTCACTTCTGCCCCAGAAGCAGAAAGAATAGGAATGCAAAATATGATAAAAAGAGACCAGTATCTGGACCTCTGGCATTCTTCTTCAGCCTCACATTCTGTCCAGCCATGACCGAGAATCTAAGAGTTGGGTCAATTTTTCTTGGTGAAATTTAAATATATGATATGGCACATATGGTACAGAAGCTATGTCACAACCCAGGGGACACTGGGGAAAGCACCATGGTGAGGAGAGACAGACACATTTACCACTAAGCCATGTTTTCTGAATAAATTAGTCAGCACATACTTTTGGGAACCAAATATTGTAAAAACTTAAAAATCATTCCAAAGACTCACCCAAGAAATTAGGATACAGATGGTCAATATTATCCACAACATAGTTACACTTGGGACATCTATTATTATCCTCCAAACTCTGATGAATACACTTGTAGCTATTAGCAGAGGGAAAAAAGAAAATAGGCTTGATTAAGTCAGGATAAATTAATAAGCTGGTCACAAAATAATGCCTATTAGTTTTCTATTCCTCGTTTTCAATATAAGTAATCTAGCAGTGACTTACTTCAGCTTATACTTTTACATCATAAAGATACATAGGTAATCATAAATTAGAAGCATGGGATGAACAGATACACACCACTATATGTAAAATCGATAAACAACAAGGATTTACTGGGTAGAACAGGAACTATATTCAGTATCTTGTAATAACCTATAATGGAAAAGAATCTGAAAGAGAATCTGAAAAAAGTAATCAATTATACTTATATGTATGAATATATATATATATACACACACACACATATAATTGAATCACTTTGCCATACACGTGAAACTAAAACAATATTGTAAATCAACTATAGTTCAATTTAAAAAAATGGAGATGATATACAGGGTATTTTTTTTAGGTAATAGTATACAAAAGTTATTTAAAAATAAACTCAAATAACAAGTCTACCAGATAAAAAATTTTAAAAGATGTACTATCTTTTAAGTTTGTACAATTTTAATATTAATAACGACACCAAGAAAAACAAATGCTTATGATTTAGTTAAGCAGACTATCCATGTTCTTGGAGTGCTGATGTCCTTAATATAAAAAGAACTCATTCAAATAAAAAAAGAAAATAAGAGAAGAACAGAAAAATCAACAACACAAAAATCAGTCAATAAGCATGAGAAAATCATCACTTTCACTAGCATGAAAAACTGATTTAAAATGATATACTACTTTTTACCAATTAGAATGAAAAAATACAGAAAAAACTATCAGAGTTAAGGAGTACTTGTAGATATGAATAATCTCATATCCTGTTGTAGGAAATGTAACTGCCACAACTTTTCTTGAAGGCAAGTTGTACAGAAAAACCTTACAGGTTGTGTATCCCCTTTGATGTAGTGATTTTACTTCTAGGAATTTATCCTAAGGAAATAAGCAGAGATATGTATATAGAAAAGTGTTCAATTCAAGGTTACATGTAAATAGCAAAATAAATTAGAAGCAATCAAAACACTAGGAAACTGACTAGATAGATTTGTAGACATCAATCCAATGCAATGCTGTACAGCCAATAAAGTCACATTGTAATATGTGAATATGTGCCATGAAAAATAATCTAATAACTATCAATAGTTAAAGCTGGAGAAATACGGTAAGAAATTTTTCCTTTCTTACGTTATATATTTCTATAATGTCTGACTTTACAACTGTGTTTTGTCAAAAAAAAAAACTTTTAATATGTCATTCAACTAAACTCCAGAGAACTATCAAATCAACATTAGAAAAAAGTCACTATATCACTATATTATCAAACAAAAATAATCTAACACAGTGGATGTAGTATAATCCCATTTCTGTTTTTAAAAAATTGTGTTTGCTTACATTTACAATAAATGAAAAAGACATTCACCAAATTATTAACAGTATATGCCTCCAGATCATATAATTATGGGAAACTTTTTCTTTGTAGGTGTCTACAAGTTTCTACAGTAAATATGTGTTGCACCTAACAATCAGGAAAAAAAATTATTTCTAAGAAACTATAAGGATGATTTATAAATAAAGATGGTTCCTATAAACACAGTACTTCTTTTATTCTATATTCAAATTACTATAAATTTACTTCAACTTTATAAACTGAAGCTGACTCTTATATTTACCTACTTTCCTCCACTTCATCAAAACAAAAACTACCACCATCAGGTTTCTCTGTTCTGGTCATCAACTACTTTCCCATCTCATATTTGTTACTTACAAAGCAAAGAAAAGGAGGACATTATAGAGAATCAGTGTAGCAGTGGTCTTTGGTAGAGTAAATGCCTGGCATATAATAAGTACTCAAATACATACTGAACAAATGACTTGCACAGTGTTCCAGAAACAATATCGCCTTTTGCAACTATGACAAAGCTAGGTATACCATAAAACCACAAAATAGGCTCCATGCCTGACAGGAAATATCCTACATGGAAATTCCAGTAAAAGAAATCACAAATTGAATTTTTTTTCATTTTTATGGTGGTAAGGAAAAAGCATAAAGAAGGTACAACAGATTACAACACATTGAGAGCTCCAACATGAAAACATTTATGGTCTGCTTAGGGGAAAAGGAAATGAGTTAATATTACCAGAATGTACGTCCACGTGACAAGATTTAATCCTTAAAAAAGTCTTCAAGTTCAAATAAAGCAAGTCATGAAGGACAGAACCTGAGGTTATTGAAGATAGGAGACAGGGACTGACAGACAAGCTAAACGACACTTTGGGCTTTAGCAAATGGCTTTTGGAAAGAAATGATAGTTAGAAAGTGAGCCAGTAATATGACAAGAACAACCTAAACTGTTAAGCCAGAAAAAGAACTTGTCAATAGATAAAAAATTATCCCAGAACCCAGCAGAACATACTCCTCTCCTTTTTCTTCAGCATCCTCATCATATACCTTGTCAGTAAGTTTACTACCACACCATCCTCTCCTAGAGGGAAAAACAGCCTAGGACACAGCCAGAAAGAACTGTCCTCAAAAACAGAAGTTTAAATAACTTTCCTGCTTTGTACTTGACAATATCCATCTAAACTACAAAACTAAAATGTGTCAAATTACGTGCCACTGTATAAAACTGCAGTGACAACAAGATCCATCAAGTTTATCTAACAGCATCTACTACCTCACGACCACCTCAGGGTAGACCTGTCTTAGTCTGAGAAACAGGAACTGTCTTATTCTGTACTTAATCTGTGTATGTGTCTGTCAGCCCCTCTTCTATTTGTTCATTAAAAGCAGTGATTTGTTTTACTCATCTCTGCACCTTCATGTCTAGCACAATATCCTGTTAAAGAGTTGGAACTCAATAAATGTTGAATGCATGAAAAAATAGATATAAACAAAAAAAAAGAAATGTACTTTTGCAGCCTTCTGGGTCATATAACAGGCTACTAGAAAGTCTCAATATTTCTTACCATAATAACTCTAATTCATTCTCATTTATCTACCTACCTGACCATCA